AATACATATCGGTATTTTGTTAACAAGCTGTGTGACATAATATGCTTGCAAAAACACACATTGGTAATTATGTTGACGTGAATTGTTGAAATAATTTCGATATTCGTACAGATAAACGACTTGTACAAGCAAAATTTCTATGTGGTTTCACAATGGATTACTGTTACGTTTGCATCAAAGGGTCGGGGTTGATGGCATTAAGGCCGAATCGAACACACAGTCGCTCTAAGAAGTCACTTGGTTCAAAATTTATAAACCGCACACGATGACTATTTCGTAATAGAGATTTAATTTATGTTTAGAGTAAATTTATGTTTCATTACAAAAGTTTTTTTTCGTTCGGTTTGAGCTCGGTATAGTTGGTGAAATTTCAAAAGAGTTCAGAGTTCAAATTTTTTTTATCACGAGTTTTAAAACTGAACCGCCGATCAAAATAATGCGCATTTTTATTGGGCTATTTTCACTCATATACATCATGTATTTCCAATATTTCGCAAATACTAACTATCTAAATTGAATTCTATATTATATAACATATATATATATAAATATATGCAACAAAATTTTGTACCCTACTTGGCAAAAATTTACTCGAATGTGCTAATAACTAAGTACGAATAAGACTGACACGTGAATAGAAAGCACAATAATTACGCTATATAAAGCCAACGTCACATACGTCATCCATTCTAAAATCATTTTCGTTTTAATTCAGGAAGGGGAAAAGTTTTTCAGCAAAGTACTTTGTGGACAAATTTATCATTTTTCAAAAACCGTATATTATGTAAAATGAATCTCATTTGAGGTCTTAATGAATGGAATTTGGCTTTCTCAAAACGGATATCATTCTTCCGATAATTCACAAAATACGTCAAGGTTCTGTGTGTGAGTATGTGCACTAGTTTTAATTGAAAAGACGGAAACACAAAAACACTATTCAATAAAAGAAAGTCATCAAAGACCAAAACTTTCCTTCAAACAGAAACGCGCATTACATGCATTCGTCAGAGAAGTTTTAATTTCAATTGAATTCAATGTGGTGAATGGTGAAACGAAATACATGTACTTAAAACAAAGAGAGCAAACGCACGATTTAAGATTTGATTGAAAAGTTCAGATGTGGCAACCGACAATTTATGTAGGTACGGAAACGTAAGTTTCCCAATTCATAAACGATTCATTCAGCTGTATGAATGTACTCAACATTGATATTATTGCTCGTTTGTGTGAATAGACTTCCTTCTGGTTATTTAGCTTATTTCTCAAGATATTAGGTTTCAAGAACTAAAAATGTAAAGAGCCCTAGAATGCTGACTTCGAGAAAGTTTTTACGTGTCCATTCTCATTAAGTTATTAGTATTATTGTAAGCACATACACATTCAAATATTCTAGTTTTCATCTCAAATCCTACATTTGAACTTATTGGGTTATGAGAATTAAAATTTTTAATATCTATCAAATTTCATGTTTCGTACGGTCCCTCATCGAATCAGAAATCCACTACTGAGGTTACGCTTACCTAATTGAGACTTAGTTTTCGAAATTTCAACCAAAACAATGCCAGGTTATGCTTGAAGTCAGTTGTCAATCACCGTGAAAAGAATGGCAAAACAAAAAATCATGCCACACGACTTACAAATTTCGGAAATGTCTGCCTGACAGCGTACGATAAACTTACAAGGACTGAATTAGCATTGAACATATAATAAAGTATTTTGACATGCGTAATAGCCAGTAGCGTACTCCAATCGTTTTCAATACTTTCTGTGTGTGTATTCTAAACGTTGATCAAGCGACATTAATAGAGTCTTATGCCCTAAACTGATTTTGAAACAATAAACGCCAGAGATGTAATGCCATTTTAAACTAAGTGTAATAAAACAACTCGATTTGTCGATGTCGAGTTTCAAATCCAGTTAACTTTAAGAATTTCGAAAAGTATTAATCCATTCCGCAAATGAAAGTCAGTCATAATATGTTTTAATTGTATTTTTATATTTAATAGTAACGTTATTGCTGTAAAAATTGATGAAAATCACTTTCATTAATTAAATGAACTTATGTTATAACTAATTAGAAAATTGGAATTTAGTTCAGAATTGGATGATATCTTATACTGATTCAGAATCATTTCGTAGCCTAAAACAGCTTGCAGCTTTATTCTGATGTATGTCACGAATGTTCTTATTTATTAATCAGAAAATTTAGCATATTTAATTTGTGGTAGATAATAAACAGATCGCGCGCTGTGTATAGTTAGTTATAGTTAGTCATTGTGCAAACAATAGAATAATATAACATTTTCATCCATATGTCTGTCGTAATGACTTCCCGTCCCCGTAACGCGACGACGAAATTATTTATGTCGCCAAAATACAACTGAAATAATCGGAAGAATTGGGGATTACAATGGGTAACGGTAATTAAATGGCAATAGTCTAAAAACTATTTGTAAATTGTTGTTAATGCAAAAGCTTTTGCACGTTAGATCAGATTGATATTTCTGAATTGACTTAATTTTAATCGAAATACGCAGCGCATAAAATTTTTGAATCAAATGGGCCGATGACTAAAACAACGTAACGAATGTGTCACTTTCGCTTCAATATCGTTTCAAGAAATATGAACGTGCGGGCCCTGAACGTAAATTACATTTTCAATTTTCAAGCTTTTATACTACGTTTGTTCGCGAGCTTTCCACTCTTAACAAGGCTTTGCACACACAGTTACCGGTATGTCAGACATGCGTCTTGATGCATACATGCACAAATAACAACCACGTATTAGCTAATGCTAAATTTAGCATTATAGAATGGTAACCTAATAATATTGGAATAAAAAAAAAATATTTCACCATTGTAATATCATCTATCATCGTGAACGACTAAAACGTAAATAAAACAGCGGGGACATTTGTTATTCCCGAGTCGATATTTGATATTTGCATGTAGAGTAGAACAATTAAAATATATGCCAATCGAATAGGTTAAATCGAAACAGTTACAGTACAAAAACCATGTCATTGCGGTTATACGTATGGCATATATGGAAAAATCCTTCTTTTCGTGGAACTCGAAGAAGTGATGTTGCCAGTATAAGCCAAACAATTGAAATATTACCTTTCCGCATGGAAATAAAGCGGTCAGGGATTTTTGACTTGTCAAATGAATATCCATTATACATTAGGAAGGATTTCCCGAAGCAAGGTCGACCCAACTGCACACATTCAAAAAATTTGTTAGTTTTACTTTGATTTCTGAAAAATGTTGTTAATACTAATTGCAACATCGCTTACATTATAACCGAATTGTACATCATTTGTTAAAATTTAGGAGTTCGCGTTTCTATTAGCCCAACGTTCGGATGTCATTCGTCGTTCTTTTTAATATGTGTTACAAGCATAGCTCGTGCTTGATAGATACCTATACAATCATCACAGTTGCGTTACCATTTTCGTATATGCTTCCGTGTTTTACAGCCTAAAATCTGAGTTCAAACTAATTTTTGCGCTAAATTTTGAAGTTGTCCTGCGCAAAATGATATGGTAGCAAGGAATAACAATGAAACAAGTAAACGTACATGGTTGTTCTTGTCATTTTGACAACAATATGTTACAATATTGAACTATTGTTTCCTATTGTCGTCGACGACAGACGAAATATTTCTAAGAATATTAAATCCGACACCATAAGTATACAGCACAAGAGATGTCGGCGTCCGTGTGAAAAGAGGCCATTGAGTGAAATGCAAGCTTATAGCATTACCAATGAACAAACACTCGTTTACTCGCCAAGGATTCGAACAAATGAAATTAAAAATTCTTAAGGTCGATAAAGCTATTATTTACCAAAATTGATTAACTTGTTTTTGTATTGTCATCGCATTGCATCGCATCTAATAGCCGCGATGATCAATTTCTAAGCCTGGATGACTTTATACAGTGTCCCAACCGAGTTCAGTTGTGAACGATTCATACTTCAATATATAAAATGTGATCAGCGATTATCCACCATATTGGCTACGAGAAAATATTCCAATTTAGTAGCCATTTTAGTTAGTACGAACGGAAGCTGTCATTTCCAAACTGCGGCTTCATTTGCAAGAAGATTTAAAGTCTTAGCATCTCGCAAAACGTTACTCAAATCGGCTTATTTGTGATCTGACACACGCCTTAATCCTAACCCTGTCGCCACCGTCAAGTTTAAATACAACGACCAGCGCGAATTGGTTAATCTTATTGGTTATGCCAGTTGTTGTGTTGGAAACAATCATCGCGATATATATGGATGATAATCGTATTCTCCATTGAAATCAACGATTGTGCGCCTGGCTTGCAGGCGTTCCTTGATAATATTGTGGTGAAGGTTCGCTATTTTAAGCCTCCCGTGAGCGGGTCTTCCTCTCAAAGGTGTGCCGTGACGTGTCCCACGGGAACGTCGGTAGGAGGCGACGGACTTGAAAGAGAGCATTATGACGTAAACGACGGGCGTAATATTGCCAAGTGGTGAACTTGGAACAAGCGCGAAATGCATTCCGATGTATTATAGTCAGATAATTCACAACGATACCTTTCTTTAGTCATGATCCCGGCCTACCGAGGTTTGATACTAACAGTGTAAATGTGATTTCCGGCCGTACGTTCTGTGATGCACTATAGAGCATGCCAAAATGATATTAAGCGAGTCTTCACTGTGTTTATGAGACAATGCAAGATATTAGGCCATCCGTCAAAGACCGTAAGTTGGCCGTAATTGCTTGACAAAGCGTACAACCGAAAATAGTGTCAAGCGACTAGTCCGTAATCGTTAACAGGATAGCAATGAAACTAAAAAAAGTTCAATCTCAACTGCCACCGCCGATCTTGTATGCCTTGCTGAATAAATCAACAAATATATTTGTGGGTGGTCTAACTTGGTGATACATTTTTGCCGGCATTGTGTACAATATTCTCTATGTTTTATTTATTCAGATTATCACAAAACTTGGTAACATAACTCACCCCTTTTGCCAGAAATTTGGGAGATAGGTTAGCGTCGCTTCGTGCTTCTGGGCTTGATAGATACCGGTCAGTGTTGGGGGATGTTTGACTCGCTCGTCGTTGATGTCGGTCAAAAAGAAGGCCACGTTTCCTGATGTGGTCGTCGGAAACTGCTGCGCGGTGATTTGGGCTTCCATCGTGTTGGGAACTCAGAACAGGAGAATAACGTGAATGAGCTGGCGACATCGTCACTGGAAGTGAGCTAAGATTTTCGTGACGAGTTGAAGGCAATTTACAAGCTCGAACATCGTTAACGGATGAATCTGTTGAGCGGCGTTTTACGCCGTGCGGAACAGAATAGCCAGCATCTCGTCTGATTGAAGATGACGTTTTTCCACGGCTTAGATCAGAATACGATGCAATGGAAGTCGGTTTTGTTAAAGTTGTCGGAACAGTCAATCCTGAAATGTTACGAATAACGCATGAAAATGTCACTTCTTTCATGATATAAGTGTGTATATTAGTTATTTTGAAATGAAAAATGCAAAGTTACCTAATCTCGATTTGTCCAATTGTGGAGTCTGCAAACCAGAATGTAAATTAATTGTAGAAAGTCCGGAAGCTGTAGTCTGCGGAAGCATAAGCGGGTGCTGAAACAAATAAAAAAAAAACGATCAATACCATAAATGATGCCAGATAGTAAATGTACGTTGGTGCCTCCATTTTATTTCATAGCTACAATACAATCTATCCAAAATTTAGCGAAGGGAATTAGTCTTCAGTTTTACTCATAAACAAAAGTCGATCATTTTGAGGACAGCCAGTCAATTACTTATTTAGAAATACCAAGCAATGGTTTACAGACATATTACACGCGAAAACGACGCTAGTAAAAGAAAAACACAGCCATAAATGATATTCCGATATTTTTGATCCACAAAACAACGATCGGATTGTGTGAATTTAGTCGGATTTGTGTAAATAGTTAAAAACACCAAAATATAAATATTTCGGAACCACAAAAAGTTATTTAAAATTATATAACCGAACGTAAATACGCACGTATTAATTTAAAACATATTTATCTAACGAATACCTAAATCGAACAAGGCGTTCTTTGATAAATTGCTGACGCAATGAAGAAAGTAGAACAGTGATTTGAACAATGTACACAAACCTACCTGGTTTGGATTTAACCCGAAGCCGGACGCCAGCATATGAGCGTATGGATCTGTTACAAAAAGCGAGGAAAAGATTAATAATAACGTCAAAAATAACAACTTACGTCTAATTTTATATATAAAAAAAATTAAATAAATAAAAACAATGTGAGGTATTGAAATTGAAATATAGCGACGTACGCACAAATATAACGAAAAACCTGTTTCACGCATCAAGCGATATTATCAGAGATTTCCGTTTTCCTAACGTACATAAGCTGCTATAATATCTTCGTGTTAAAATATTTATCGATGAACTCTTAAACTTTTTTTTTTCAAAAAATGATTTTCCATATTAAAATCTAAAACTCTAGCAGAAAACGATGGGATTTCAAACCTACAAATATACATATCAACAAATATTATACAACAAGCTATATTGTTGATAACGAAGTGTACACCGAATGTTACGAGTGAGCTAAAATCTGAAAAATAACATTCATGAAATGTAATATTCCCTAGTCTTAAAAATACATCAACATTTTTATAGATGTTTTGTCGATTATTTCGACTTTACATAAGCAAATTTCATTTTGAGTCAGAAAAAATATCGAATCGAATCCGATTCAATTATGATGATTAATCGGTATTTTATCCTATATTTATTGCATTATATAATCATAATAATGATGTTAATCAAGTATTATTGTCTTTATTCCACACTTTCCTATCTCAGGATATGGCCGTGTCAATTACCAAGATACAGTATGTTTGTAACAAAAATGGTCAAAGTTAATCATGTTTTCAGGTAATTCAGATTATTTGAAACCATGAAAATGTTGTTTTATCACATGGGTTTACTCAATATCAATTCTAAACAATTTCCTAATCCAAATTCGAAGTAACAAATTTTTTATGATAAATTATAAAACTGAAACTCATCATTGAGTTGTATATGAAATAGTGTATATTTTACTAATTTTTGCTCACAGCCGTGATTGTTAACTTGTTGGATGAGTATTACAGATGAGAGCAAAGTAAACTGAACGACTCCGGCGTTCAATTGTTATTTTTCTGAACCATTTCGACTACAATGTGAACTAATGAGTAAGACAAATGACTTTCTTTTCCGATCTGTTCCCGAGATATCGTTTTTTTTGCATGACGATAATAACACGCCATTAATTATCACCGAACATAGGGCGGTTTCCAACAACCGCACAAGATCATTTTTATCTGTTCTTTAGTCTTAGATCATGCCTGATAAGGGTGTAATATGCTCTATATGGCCACTTACCTAGAATTCCTTTGTAGGCTGCTAATGAGGGCAAAGGCAGCAATCCAGATTGAGCTGCGGAAAGCAGGTTGTCGTTAGTTGGTGTTGGGCAAAATGGCATCATTCTGAGAAGAGGATTTGTCAAATGTTGATCTTGCTGTTGGGTACTAACCATCTGCATCAAATGAAAGTAAAATATATTATTTAATTTAAATGTTTCAACAATATATGTGAAAGTCCATGAACTCAGTCGAATTTTGCAGTCTACTATATCAGATATATATTTTCTTCTGATGCAAAATTCCTGTTCTATATATAGCAGTGACTTCTTGTGCGGAGGCTTGTTTGGGGCGAAAAATGTATAAAATAGGTCGCATAAAAATCACTCAAAAAAAAATATAAATAAAAGTGAGCTAGTTATATCACTAGACTAGGGAAAACTTGTTTTCGAACGGACCATCATTGTTGTATTTATTTTAATTTTACTTTATTTTTGCGAATTTAACAGTAGAGAAAGGTTTAATAACGCTGAATCATTTTTATCGTAAGTCATGCAAATGCACTTCTATTATGAAATGTCCTTATCCAGGCTAATGGGAGGGATTCCTGCTGCAGAGAAGCAACAAAGGGCAGTACAACAATGCTTCCGTGCGTACTGGTCTTTTGCTCGTGAAAACAGGCCACCGTGAAGAAATAACATAGATTTGGCTTTTTAGAGTTTGAAGACAGGTGAATAAACATACCAGTTAGACAAACCAAACAATGAAACTTACAACAACAAAACCATACATTATTTTCTTTTGTCGTGTACAACAAAGACGGTGACTACTTTTTCGACACCACCCGACACAGTTCACTGCGACGTAATGGACAATGCCAAGTAAAGGAAATTAATATTTTATTTCTGAGTTTGTTAGACAAACTTGGATTTGAATGAAATAGCTTATTATTGTCATTTATCCTCCCCTTTGTAACTTGAAACTAATATAAACTTCAACAAAACGAGTCTGTGGCACACAATGCCTTTGAGAGATATGGAAATTGTACGAGTTCGCCATTATATTTTTAAATACCCATAAAGATATAGGGAACATCGTAAGCTCAACACGAATATACCATACACGATTGTAGGGAACACGATGTTCAAACGGCATTGAAGGCATAGGAGTCCATGCCACGTATCATGAACAGCCTTGTTAACATAGATATGATAATGAATATATGTACTCATATTTGTGGCTTCTACCAACATTTTTGATTTTAATTTATATTGCCGAAATGAAGCAAAATAGGGATACCAGTGCAATTTAGCTACAAAAAATTCAAAATCAAAACCATTTTTTTTGTAATAACAATTTTTGAGCTTCTTCTTAAAAATACACATAAAGAATATTTTTAAAGATAAACAATGGTTACGAATCTATATATAAACATCCCTTGAAAAAGATAACAATATTCCTCTTTTTTGCCTACGTCAAACGCAGTAGCAACGCATCAATCTCTAAAAGTTCACACCGCAACAGTAAAGTTAAATGTTACATAAACAGGAAAGTTTTCTATATGAAGATAGCATAAACAACATAACTTTTGGGTGGATTAGATATACATAGATATACATGAATTCTATGAATATTTTTGCAAAATCATTATTACATACACATTTCAAAGTTACCCAGTCATGCACTTCGTGCAGCACGATTTAAACAAGGTCAGGCGCGGTAAAACGAAACTGGTTCGTATTCTTAGAATCATGCTAACATGATAATGATATCAAGAGGCGTCGGCATGCGATACGACAAAAATCTACCATAGGATAAATAAACAAAAGAAATATGTAAATAAAACGTGAGAGTTTTTATTCGAGACAAAGTCAACTTCGAAGAATTATATTCATTCGTATTCATGTAGATGCGATAAGGGATGGGGCTTGTTTCCCGGTAGTTTCGCTTTCGACATTTTTAGCATGATTTTTGTCGCACGTCAAAACATTGCTAATCTTTAAACCAAAACAACTTGACCCTCTGTATGCACAGTTCAAAAATAACGTCATCTTTAGTATAATGGAGAGCATTGTTAGATCGAATCGCTTCCGAGGTTGCTGGTATAATGGATTAGCGAGAAATTGACATTACTTAACTTGCATATTTCCGGTATTTCAATTTGAATGACGAAATTTGGAAGACATATTATTGACTTATATGCGTTTTAATGAAATATGTTATTCGTGACAAATTCTATTATATATCAAGATAGTAATTATTCTGAATATAGGTTTATATGGACTTTCATTATAAATCGCTTACCAAACAAACTTCGTCACACATTAGCCAACGGATACGCCGAATATTATAGAACTTCGATTTAAAAAACACGCGTCGGTTTTATCAGTATTAGCGACAAAATAAAAAAAAAATAAAATCCAATATTTCACTATTCGACTGTCTGCAGAATGTCTGGTAAATCTTTCGCCACAGTTCTTAGAAGTATGACAATTGTCCGATTATAATGTATGCTGCAGTTTATTAACGTTTTTCCGTGTTACCCGTCTCATCTGATAATCAAAACAAATTAATAGATAAAATCTTGAATCCCATTTTGCTTGAACAAACCCAATATCTAGCGTTCAGTCCGTTTTGCCATAAATATCGGTAAAAAGGATAAGATAATGTCATGTTTACCCTATAAGGTTATTTTAAAAACATGAGGCGCGAGTATGACGTAAGAAAAAGCTAAAAATAAATGACAGAAAAGGTTACAATACTCCTCCTGTGAAGCCAAGCGTCGCCTAACGGAGTGTAAAATTCCATGTCAATCTAGAGATGGAATTTAAGTTTGTTGTTCCCATTTTCCGAACTTTCGCAAAATTAATACATACGTTTTTATTTATTTTATTGTTATATTTTGTTTCAATCCAAACTAGTTCAAGATTCTATTTACTGAAAAGTGTAATTGTTAAAAAATCATGACCTCATATTCGTATCACAAAGAAGTGTATTTTTCTGGAAGCACTCTTTCTTCTAATTAAAATAAATTTAGTTTGTCAGGTGTACTGTCGGCGTATTTAAAATAACGTAGTCAATCTTTTAAAAGATAATTCAATCTTAAGCGTTTTCAAATAAAATTGCGTTGCGTCACTAGTTGAATACAGGTGTATCGAAAAAGTCGGTAAATATTTCCAATTAGGTGGTGACGTCACGTCTAGTTGCTGAAACGGAAGAAAAGGTCGACTGATTATAGCACAATGTGTGTGGTATGGTGATGACGATTTTTTCGCTACTTTGCGTCGTCGTAAAATTCGCCCACGAGATTTCATCATATTGTACTTTTAAAAAATAACATTATTTCATCTTAATTTTCCATATTTAAAAGCTAACACAACCTATCCATATATTATAAATATAGTTTATAAACGTGATTATTAATCGAACTTTGCATTAAAATATAACATATCTAAGTTTTTTAAAGTCGCGTTTAATACTTAATTGTTATTCTTTATCCTTCTACAAATAAAAGAAAATGGCAGACATAATAGCGAAAACTGTCCGAAGTAGTAAAGTAATTTTCATACTGGTTTCGAGATTCCCAACCAGCCAAACAGTACTTCTAATGAACAATGTACCTGCCAAATCTACTATGTGACCGAAAAAACGTGCCAGTTAACAGAAAAATCTTACAAGGAAATAAACTAACAACGGAAAAGATAGAACGTTATTTGCATCTTCGTCGTACTTTTTCGTGTTGGAATATTAATGTTACGCGAATAAGAGACTATCATTACCGGTATTAGTTTTCTGTATTGATTTGCATGTACTTGATGACAAGCTAATGACACTTTAGTAGGAACGCCACCTTAAACGATATGACTTCAGATGTCGTTTTGTGGGAAACACATTTGCGCGAAAAATCAATTTGAGGCATAGTGCTTTGATATAAATAAGATTTGGCAATATGTCTCGGTTACGATTATGAATAAAATATTATAGGAGTAATTAGAGTAAGCATTGGTAAACTAAGTTGGTCGTAAGTATTATTGTAAAATTGATGGGCGGCGCAAATCGTCTTCCCACAAATGAGTATAACACGTTTTGGTGGCTGTTATTTTCATAATCCCGACCATCGACAAAATACTTTCGTACGTTTACAATCCCAAGAGTGAGAGAATATAACGAAGCAAGAACAATTGTTGTCAGACATGATCTTACATGGGCAGCAAAAATTCGATGCGTTCTACTTATGGCCCGCACTTCATCATTTACAAAAACGACAAACAATATTCCTTCTGATTAGACAGGCAAAAGCCTGATTAATTTGACGAAAATTACCCAAATACAATGTCAAACACTATCTGCAGTGTCGAACGTCAATGTGTTCAGTTCCGTTGCGATTAAATATGTATCTACATGCTAAACGCATTATAACATCCCGATGCGACCAGTACATTGTCACAATAATGGAAACTGCTATTCGCTTTTTAAACAGCCAGACAAATCCCAAAGCGAGAATATTCTCAAAACGTTGACTTGTTACGGTCTTCGAAAAACCGCGTAATTCAACACAAAATGTTATTTCGAGATACTATCTGACATGCGCTGTGATTGAAGCTTTCAGATTTGAAATAGAATTGGTTTTTAACCAAATGGATTTGTTAAACGCTACCTTATATACTAGTCAACAGATCTTCACGTCGAAAATTTTCATTAATATAAGCATATAAAATATTTGTTTAGCATCCTATCGACATTACTACAATCCACATTTTGGCTTTCAAAGTATTTCGGCATTTCAAGTAAATGGCTAACACCCATATATAACATTGCAGAGAAAAGAAGCCAAAACATGACATAAGCATCAAAAATTGAGCAATAAAATGTAGATAACAACAAAATCATAGGATTAAAAAAACTAGATCTCGGTAAAAATCTACTTAATCTGATCTTTGACATTTCGGGGAAATCCTGCCAAATCCAAATATGAACTTATTGTACATGGTGAAACAAGAAGTCCGGATATGTTTTATACTCAAACGTGATATAGACTTCCGTCAATTTTAAAAAGACAATATACTTTGGTTAACTATAACAAACCAGACAATACGAATAATAATTCTGACCTGGACTTTGAGTGATATGGGAAAACCATACGTGGCATTTTTTTGGCTACAATTTCATTTTCCGATATACGTATGATGTATAGATTCTAATATAAGCAAAATGCTTTAGATATCAGACACTTCAACTTTATCCAATACAAAAATATTCATCGAAAATGCTCGATTTTTATGTCTTAAAATGGACATGCACAACATCGGTATTTCCCTATTACAACCGTGTGTTGCTGCATGATATCATGCTTTGCTCGTGCTTCATCATTGCCTGGCATGACTACCGTGAAACTAGTTTAACGTGGCGATTCGATTGGCGATTTAACTTGAATACAATAAAAATATATTATAAAAGCTGACTGAAATTGAGGTCTTCCTAGTGATTTGCTTATCAGTTCTACTTTCTACAATCTTGATAACTCAATGAACAAAATATCACCAGTGTGAAATTATGAATATAAAAATTGATGAACTTACCTGAATTTGCTGTTGTAATAAGTTTATTCTGTGCTGTTGCTCAAGTAGTTGTTGTTGTTGACGAGCAATCTAAGGGGAAAATATGAAACTTTAAACGATTCGTTTCAACAAAATATTTGTCGTAAAATAACGATGCGAAAGATTATATTAAGTCGCTTTTAAATATATCGGCCGATTTATCGACGTCACCATGATGACGTCACAATTTTGCTGCATTTTGTTAAGTAGCTCTACGTGTGCTAGTTGTGTTCATTTCGATCTAAAATTACAATAAACAGTACTATGACTGATTAAGTGTCGCTAGGCGACAATAATTTCACTGGCAGTCAAAATATGATTTTTTTGTCTGGTCGACATTTCATATAGAAAATGTGCGAGAAAATCTTGAATAATTAAACGCAAGTCTGCATACAATGTATCTCCCGAGATACCGCCGCTTTTGTTCGGTTGGAGAAGCAACATACATAATTTATTTCGCACGTAAACTGCCATTGTCATGTGCAACAGTTAAATGAATTTTTCCGGACGTTAAGTCCGCCAAATTGCATAATAGTACCAAAATGTAACGGAATTTCAAAGTTAATGATGTCTGGCATATTGTAAAATACACACCGCGGATTGTTTTCTCTAAATATGCGACAGTAATGCATCATATGACTCTGCGTGATGAAGTTCATACTCAGTGAATGATTGCGACAAATTTTTGGTTCCATAATTACTGTAGTTCGTTGGTAAAGTTACTGATTCTTTTTGGCTGTTCAAAAGTTTTGTCCTATTGTGACCTAAAGGCGACTCTGCTATCTACACAATCCCTGAAGATATGACACGTCTGATTTCACAAATTTTCTGTCACTCTGATAATATCCCAAGCAAAGCACGTGAATAAGCAAGCAGGACCGATCTTCCCGCCTTTGTCGGTATTTGGTTTATTAACCCTCACCTCACCACTGGGTAAATTTTTAGTCACGCTTTACTTTACAGTATTTGTTTATATTGTTGTGAGAGCTAAGAAGCAACAATGCATTTTCTGAAAGATATTGTGCAACGTGATAATACCAGCGTACATATGAGTAAGATTTTTATCCTAAAGTTCACACTATGAAAACAAAATTTAAATTAACGAAGTTCTTTGTAAATAATGTAAAAACTAGGTAGTTAAAAATACCAGCCCAATGAGCAGCTTTTAAATCATACAAATGATAAACAGCTATACAGCGAAATTCCAGTGATGCAATAAATTACAGATAAAGATCGACTTTTTAACCGTGGGTGTTAGTTAATGGGTTATACCCCAAACAAGGGGTCGTTTGCGGCGAAGAAAGACAGAGCGAATAAAAAGCTGGTAAATAACCATTGTGGTTTTCGAAAGCAAAACAAGACAATGAGTCGAAATAAAGTACTGTATGGGGGTATTCAATGTTCATCCTCGCATTATACACAACAAAAACAAAGTCAGAGAGATATATTCGATTGACTAATGGAACAAAGGCGCGGGTAATGAAGATACATGAGAGCGATCCATAACACGTCAACTTTAGATAAATTCGCTACCGGTACTCATAGAGTGGGAGAGAGGTTGGCTAATACCCACATATCAAATTTGCGTGTTTTGTCCGATGTTACTTTTTGGTAATGGGTGGGTAACGTTGATATTTTTCAGTCTTGTGCAATGAATAACACTTTGAATATTTAATAATTCGTGAAATATAATAATTTCTTATGATTGTTACGTTATGCTTTTCAACTAAAGTTAATATTTTTCCGCATCATTCCGAATGTATCTTTTCTAGAGGGAAATACCACTAATGTGTCATGACAGGAATATAACGGGTCAATATATTCAGATGACGTTCCACATCCCCAGCGATTCGACAGTCCATTTGTTACGGTAAAGTAAATTACGATTAACTAATTTTATGCAATTCGTTTTCGTTTTGCCCATTTGCACTTCACCCGCGCTGTCGTATTGATTACAAAAATCGAATGTGGTCAATATAGAGAAGGGTATCGTCATCAGCGGTTAGCTTTTTTATGGTAATAGTTATCGAAAATTATTGGATCGAGTTTCTAACTTGTCGATTACGTCACGGGACGAAATGCGCGAAAAAGCACTTAGCGCCCGACTGTAGAAGAATGAAATTATTGTCTTACTACGAACTCAAAACAAAGCGATGGGTCGTCGTAAATAAAAGATAATGGGCATTATAGAACCATGAAATCCCCGCTGATTGTTGCGACGAAATAACAGACAATGAAGTAACTCGAGATGGGAGGTTTTTTATTCAAAACGTATTCTTTGTGCAGTGCGCCCGTTGTCTGCTGTTTTTGTGTTGTTTGAAACAACTCCCGCACGAGAGCAAATCTAGATTATCAAAAGCGACCCGACTGATACAATAAACACAATGTAAAAATCAAAGACGGGTTAGTGTGTCCAACTTTTCTGCCCAAAAGCTTAAAGCGCTAACGCGAGCCTGGTGTGAGGATTCGACGCTCTGGTTTCGAAGTCCCACGTTTGCCGAAGATGATGCAAAACAAAAAGCATAAATTAGCTGACGGAAAATTAAATGTTTTGACATCAATGGGAGACGCGAGAAAAGAGTTCTGTTGCAATCTTTAATTATTGAAACATTACAAACGCGTGCCAAGGCTGTCAATTCTGACAACACAAAACAATAATCATATTAATTATATCCATAAAGCTCATTACAACACCTTTTTGGTGTTGATTGGCTTCTGTCTTTCCTGTATGGATAGCGTCGCGTCGTTTTACCGCGTGGTGCAAACAGAACCTTTGACGCTTTCTTCTACCTGTGCAACTTAATTGGATATTGCAACGTTAACTCAGGTACGGCCTATTCGCCATTCAAACTCGGGGTTAATTTCTCCGCGTACCATAAGCAGAAAGTCAGCACGCTTCGGATACGCAACGTTCGTAATTCGCCGTAATAAGCGTGAAGAAACGTGCATGTGAAATAAGCGAATACCACACGACAACCGCTATTAAGCGATATTGTTGGCACTATTTAAATTAATGTTATTTGATATCGTGATCTTATTATCACGAGTTGGTCTTTGATGTTGGAAAATAACGCACGATTTATTAATCAAAATTTGATGTTCGACAAAACCGCGAAATCGGACCTTTGAAATAGATTCGTGGAAAAGAACAAAACCGACATTACTATTTGCAGAAGCAAATGCAGAAAAGAAACTTTTTCTACTATTCTAAAATTTCTCCACTTCATTGAAGAATTTTTGTCGATCATGGTTATTCTCAGTTGATCTTTGACCAAGTGCTCAATAAGTTATCAACCAGAATCGTAACACCATTAGATAAATATACGACCGATGTCTTTTCGGATTGAGTTTTCTTTGTCGCGCGATTTATAGATGGTTGTTAATCACCTCGCTAAGTTTAACAACAAAAACAACTCAATCCCGTCGAGATACCTGCCCATTTCTCTGTCAACCAAACAAAGACTACACGTATCGACGCAACAAAAACATGGGGGTTTGGCGCAGAAAGAGCTTTTCTTTCTAACAATAGATTCGTCGTACCGTGAAGCCGGCTAATGTAAAATGCTTTTCAATAGCACTACAAATGGCACTATAGCTGGTGTTTTCGTTTTAATTTTTTTCTTCCTATTTATTATTTTGTTATATATATTTCTACATTCATAATCGAGTACCAAGATATGATAGTGGATTCCAAATGTGGGCAAGTCTAATTGACTCAATTAAATTGTCAATGTGGTAAGGGTGTGTGTGGAACTAGAAGATCAGAAGATTGATATCGAAGCAAATTGTTATCTCCATTTATATTGTTCGTCAACGACGCCTGGTACGGATTCTATGGACCATCCCATTTTTGTACAGGGAAATTACCATTGTATCTCATTAAAGTATTTATTTGTTTGTTAAATTTCATGATTTTGAATACATATATCTGTCATTTTCTATATAGGCATCCCAGCATTGCTGAAGAATTTGTTTTTCGTAAACGCTAAATTTTCCAATCACCTGCATGTCAAATTGTCTTTTCAAGATAAATGAAAACTGATACTACACTCCCTTTATATAAACATATGCATTCATAGTTACATTATGACGTCTTTCATGTCGTTTTTTAGTGTTAAACGCTCCCAAATGATGCGGAAAACGCGGTCTGACATATGGGTGTGTATGTGTGTCATTACATTGTATTTGACCTACACCATTCCAGTTTCTCTTAAATTCCCGTTATCCAATGATTCATTGATTATGTTTATATTATCCATTCTAATTATAATTTTTCAACTCATACATTATAAATTTAGAAGTAAAGTTTTTGTAAAACTAAGTAGCATTCTGACATAAATGAACTGATTACTATTATTGTTGTGCTCTAAACAAATAGCATTTTTTGTCAAATGATAATTATATTCTTGGTTAAATTTACATTTCGAATTAGGAGTCATTTTGATCTAAACAAATTTCTTATTTCTGTGATATTTATCAATTCTTTCATGGTGGACAAAACCACAGGGGTGGATTCGTGTTCTTAGAATTTATTTCGGAAATCTTTAATTTTAATTTTGAATTACCGGCATTGTTTTCGGCACACGAGAAGGAGAAAAACGTTTGTTTTCCTACAAATTTGTATAGGTTTTCCTAGTTTAGATGAGGCAACAATTATTAATATACACCATCGTTTTATTTATGAGATATCTGTATTCTGAGAAACTATTATAGGATGTTTATATATAAATCTAAGCACGCCAACAACAATATCTCATAAAACGCAAAATCGTTTAATCATATTTTAAATTTAGGATTTGACCTAATTAATGACAGAAAAAATTGAAAATATATTTCATAATATCGGAAAAAGATGTAAATAATAATAAAATGGTATTCAACATTAGCATTGCGATATTGATGTTTGTAAACCTATTTCAATTTAGTTATTTGTGCAAATTTGAACTGTTCGGTACAACCCAAATAAACATTTCAAATTTTAGAGAAAATCATATTTTTGTAAAACGTTACTCTGAATGTAATAAATTGGTTAGGCAATGTGATCGTTATAAGTACGATAGCTAGTTTCTGATGTTCGAGTGTTTGCTTATCTAAACAACCAATACTAACTTGTTCTTGCTGTTGTCTTGCTAATTCCAGATGTTCTTGCTGTTTTAGTACATTGGTTGCAGCCTCTTTGGTCTGTTCGTCCTGATAAAAAAATTTAATTTTTCAACTTAATTTCCCGATATTTGTTACGTGTTCATTACGCAGTTGCTATTCTTTTAGTTATATTCGAATATTGATTTGAAAAAAAAGAAAACTTCTGACTTACTTTTGAGACCATGAGTTTTTCTCTGAGTCCTTTCAATTGGTCTATCATTTCTGTTAGTTTTTGCTCTTTCTTTGAAATCCAATCATTGGATTCATCTGGAAATAAATAATCCCCGTTTGAAAGTAACATCGCGTAATGTAGTAATTTATTGTTAAACATAGAGTGAGGGAAAGACGAATACAGAAATATGTGTATTCATAGTTTGCCACTCACCTCCACTTGAAATCCGTCGTGTCTGAAATATCATATCGTTAGATTTTGAAGAATATTCGCAGTTGGTAGTATCCTGGTGTATCATTGCCTTGTCGATATGTTGGGGGCAGTGTCTTTCTGTCGGGTTTTCTTCAGTTGCGCCATTTCTTTGCCTCAGATTATTCACAACGTTCGCCAAGTTGTCACGTCGTCGATGATCGTTCGATAAATTTTGGCTTAAAGCAAGAAATCTATTTTAGTCCTCTGACAGTTTAGATACAGTAAAGACAAAATGGCGGTCGGAGGAAGTAAGACAAAAATACGAAGTAAGTAAGTAAAGCCAATATTGTTTTCGACGGGTAAAATCGATACTTTAAGTAAAATGACCGAAACAATATTGAAAATCTATAAAATAACAAAAGAGCATTTACTTCGCATTAGTGGAATCCATTTCGTCGGACTTGTCATCACTTGACCGACGTGTATAGATGTTTGGAGAATGGAGATGTGTGACTTCTTTCATTGTTGGCGATGACAACCTTCTCTCGCCCTGGCCATTTGTCCTCAGGTCCTGAAGTTGATTGTTGGCCTCATTCTTCCCTAGGTCGTTATTTTCAGGAGAGCATTCTGCCAATATCAAAAAGCAGATATGGTAAATCTACATATATATATACTGGTCTCTGGTGAGCAAAATATTATTAACGTTTCTATACATTTCACTCACTATATGCAGTCAGAGGGTCGGTCTCCGATATCTGCAAACAAGATGACGAAAAAGATTCGCGATAATGGCATTGTCTTAAATTCATTTAATACAGTAGCACGGTGTATATCTCCGATTTATAAGTTCTTTGTCGTGTGCCTTCGTGAGGATTAAAAAAATTAAATCCTATTAGTTTAAATGATTCGAGAGTATTAACAATAGGAAGTATTAGGTAATGTAGAGAATACCTCATTCGTAAGAATATTGCATAAGTCTCTAATTAGATTGTTGTAGTTATATTATAGTTTATTATAATTGAGTGAAATTCAAACAATTACTGGATACAAACTGGCGAAAAACAATGTTGAAATACAAAAAAATCTGCATCCCAAATTAAACATACACAGAATACAGAATGTTTGGGAGGGAAATAAGCAAACGTGAAGAGAGTACAATTTTGCTTGACTATTTTCCTCTGGTCTAACACTATCAAAAGATACATTTTCGTACATTCATTGTCGAAAATGGCTACGCAAACGATACTTTTCAACAGGAAATAAAAATCTATGATAGTGCAGCAAGACATAAGCAGGGTATACGTGAAACTGGTTCAACAATTTCCAACAATAGCACAATGCAATAAGGACGGAGCAGGAACCGTTGTTCACACAAGACATTTTATTATGTTGGATATTGCTATTTGCCGCATTACGTGACAGCCGTATTTGCGCTAAATTTGTCACTGGTGTAAGCCATAATAACGACGTTAAGGCCATAAACCAAACGCGTAAAATTAAAATTAGCTGGCATAAACTTCACCCCGAATATAATCATCACACACGCGTGCATAACCTTTTTCATGCTATAAAACATTTGTCTGTTTACGATGAATTCTCAATTACAACAGCGTTTGACAATTTATTTGTACTGTATATCAAGTTGTACCATAAGAATATTGACTCAATACATCGTAGCAATTTGAATCAAATGGACATTTATAAATTAAAACCGAGTCGATTTACGGATGTGTCAAATATTTTGTTTGCGTTTCGAAATTCGGAAAAAATCGATTCTTTTGAATATACACCGAACAGTCTATTTTGGTGGTGTTAGGATGGCAAATGGTAACAGCAGCATATTTATGATACATAAAAACATCATTCATTATTTCAAAATACTAGAAAATATTCCGCATGCTATTCTTAGCAAAGGAAATTGACTTGCACATCCATATAATAGCCAATCTGCTGAATGCTGCGAGCATTATTGGACGCGCAGGGTTGATCACAAAACAATTCATTGAGCTCTAATAGGAAGTTAAATATTGAATTTATGCGTCGAAATAAAAATCGATTGAAACGATGCTCCCAAAGCGAAAGAATATTTTCCGCTCGAACATATTGCGACAAAGGAATGTTACTATTGTGTCCTTTGTTAAAACGAGAATAATGGGAAAATAAATATTAAAGCAGGTCGTTTGTTCTATGCACATAAAGTATTGTAAGATTTCAATATTTTTAAAGTGATTCGTAATTTTACTTTAAACTGAACTCACAAGGCGATATTAATACGAGAAGGCATATTTGAAAAAAAAAAGTTCATTCATTGTAGAAAATATATACTAAGCATTAAATAAAGTATTAATTACTAGAAAGTCCTATTTCCCATATATGTAATGAAATTTTATGTATTCATACCTTCCTGGTCGCTCCGTCTAAAATTCCGATGCTTCGTTGAACTATAATTTTCTTCTTCGTTGTCAAGATATTCTTTCCCGTCCGAGAATTTTCTTTTCTTTTCAGAAGAGCCGGCGTAATCCATACCATCCACTATTTCAGAACCATCGCAAAATTGACGGTTTTCCGACATGAAATTTCTGGGGTTCACTCCTCCGCATTTTTGTTCAGATTCGTCGGCCTCGCTGTCAGATAAAAATGGGCGAACAAATTGTTGTTTCTTTTTGAAATATTCTTCTGGGCAGAATGCACCGGCATGCAGATGTGAAATTTTTTCTTGATGTTGATGATCCAAACTGGGTGATTTCTCGGATGAACTCTCGCTACTCTGGGGGTTTGGGGATCCAGTTAACTGCGGCACACCGTTGTATTCCTGCTGGTCAGAACGTGAAAAACGAGCCTCGGGGCTGTTTGGTGGAGGTGAATCCAATGAGGAAGTTGCTTTCACTAGGGAAGACCCTGTTGAATTTGCCATAAGATGGCCACTAACTGCAACCATCATATTGCTACTGTGTATTCTCCTTCAAACTTTACAAAAAAAAACGTCTTTCTTCGGCGGGCGTATGTGCTTTTTCGCGGCAAAAGAATCAAACTTTCTTTTACAATACGATAAAACGAAGGAATAAGAGTCTAATAATAAAACATTTGATCTGTATTGAACTAACAAAAGAAACCAAAATTAATTGTATGCATATCAATAGAGAAACGATTAAACAATTGAAACCATTAATACTTTTATAACTGTGTCACGACCAGTACAAGCGGCCCCGATGCGTCTCTTCTATAACACGTTCTCCTTACACAATCCGACCGCCGAGGCGATACAATCCACACTGACTAACGCTCTAGCGCGAGCATTGTTGCCGAATGCGTCGAGCGATGAAAGACTCGGAGAGAAATAGAAAAAAAGACAATATCAATGACGTCACTCAAACTCTCTCATTCTCAATATGAATTTGCGTCGACGATGAGAAAGACATCTGAAAACTTCTTTAAACTGGACATAAGTAGTTTTATTATCTTAATTTATGGCAATATTTTATCTTACAACAATACTTTTTTCATATCAACAGTGACTTGAATTTTACAGTAACTCTGAAGAGCATATCACTCCTGTAAAACATGTTTAATCTATATGATATGAACGAAATAGTTAATTTGAATTGTCGTTGAACTGAATTGAATTGTCGTTTGAATTGTTACATTTGTTTTAGCGTGATTTGTCTTTAAGACAAATGACTCTAAGACAAATGAATATTTCTGGTAGAAAATTGAAAAGTCCATTACAGACCTCTTATCGTGAGGAGGTAATTATGGAAATATCTAATTGTTAGGTAGGCAAGACCACTTGAGGGTCGATGAAAGGTCTCAATTATAAACCATAGAGAATTTGTTAATGCATCATAAATCCATTACGAATTGAGTACTAATGGAAATGACATTGATGTATAGAAATAGGAAAATTATGTTTTAGGCTTGTTACACGGACAATTATATATTTCCCCTGCGACAAAATAACAAATACTGCCATTAGTAGTAAAGAAAAGACGTTACATTTTGTCAATTATGCTTTTAACGCAAATAATATCCGGTTGTTATGTGGCGTGCCTTGCAAGGAAAAGAATAGGTTCATTTCCCTATTAAATTGATAAGGCATTGATTCCATTAGGAAGCCGAAATGTTTGCAATATGTAACTCAATTTATATTGACGAACATTCGTCCATTTTTATCCTTTCCATCGTTTTGCATAGAGTTTTTGAGCATATTTACCATGCGTTCTATACTATACACCATATTTCGTAACATACCGAATACAATTAATGAAATGTTTTACGTTATATTAAAAGTTAAGAGAACGCAAATTTAATACGTACAGGGAAATGTAGAATTTTCCAAGCAATACGACTGGTAATGGTAATAGTTTCACCTACAATAGAAGTAAACGTTCCGTGCAACTTAGTTATTTTCATTGATGTATACCCATAGATGTAAAAGTATAAGCATTGGAATGGCAGATGAAAGTGCTGTCGAAATCCAGCACACTTTTGAACGACTCGTAATAATCACGCTTAACGAGAATTGCTGCTTAGGAGTTTTACAACGGTATTACAACGAATGGCCTGGAAGATTTATCTATTTGTTTGAATAGCCTAAAACTTTCGCACCCGTTGATTATACCGAAGTCAAACAGCGAAGTTGAAACAACTTGTTTTCAAATCCGGAAGAAGCATGCCTGTGCCCCGAAGTAATTCAGCAGGTAAACAGGCCATACACTTGATTGGTTACTTATCAAATCGAATGTAGTTTGCGATCACACGCGAGTTTATTCAACTTCTGCTATAATTAACTGAAAAATTGTTTACTGATCGACGATCGTAAATAAAAATAGAGCAACTGGAAAAAGCATCACTCAAGTAAACTCTTATAGTATACTCCAAACTCCATAAAGTCTAACAACTCTAATGCCGTAAGCCAGTTCACATATTTAAATGAAATTGGCCGTATATGAATTAACCACAAGAACAGAACATGGACGAACCGAGAAAATATTGCGTAGTGCGTTCCCCAAACTTTCAGAACCGTTTAAATTACAAAAATGAACGCGAGATGCTTTATGGTAGTTGGGGTATTAGGCAACAAGTTGATTTGACGGCAAATTCTCAGGTATATATCGAAGTATAAAAATTAAGTAAATTAATTGAACCTGAGTTTCCCACGACAGGAAAAAATACTAATTGATTTAGAACTCCAAGCCCATTCATTGCATCAAAATGTTACACAATCGTACAGTCTGTGTTGTTCACAAACATTTTCTCTCGCCTATAACTTAACAGTGTTCACGAATATCAAACAAAGAGAAAAAAGACAAAATTAGATTTTGGACAATGTCTCACGAACCCAGCATTTGTTTCCGACACACCTTGTCGTAGCAATTAAAAGACTCTTACTCTCAATTTTCAAAACAATTTTTTGATTTGTTATGAAGTGAAGTACATCGACTATCCCAATCTCTAGATTCGATAACTTTGAACTCCATTCAAGCAATTATAGAGATATTTCCTGAGTTCTGTTGTTCGTTCGTTTGAACAAAAAATTATCAAAAGTTATTATTTTAAGGCATTATTAGCTTTGATCTAATTGTACATTTTTATTGTCAATTCAGAAAATGATATCATATAGGATATCGCCCGTAACGCTCGTAGACCTATACCAAAGTACAAAAGAAGCTACTTATGTTTAAAAAATCTTGCGGTGTGCTCTATAATATACTATCATTTGCACATTTTACGATTTGAAATCATCATATATTCCGGACGAACAAATCCGAAAACGAACGCAATAATTTTCAGTTACTATATAGTCTTCGTCGTTCATACCCTAGATTCTCCATAATTGAAATTAATCGATTATATTTCTAGAAAATACATTTTGTTCTATTTATTCCAAGACTCCGTTGTTAACTAAATGATAAAATCATCGCTGCCCAAAACAGCCTCTTTTGAATTGGTTGTTTTTATACATTTGTGCTGTAGACACGGCTCCATAAAAAGAGATTACACCTATATACGAAAGAAACTACATTATGTTTCAAGGACTGGGAATCATTCCGACGCAAAGGATATTCAAACAATATATTCAATTTCGAGATGAAAATTTTGAGTTACAAATTTCACATTTTCAATCGTATACAATGGAAATAGGGCAATATAGATTTGTAACCAAAATGGTATCGTTTCCATCACGTAGCAGACATTTAATAGCTATTTGTGGATAAGGACGGAACTATGGATGCTGTTTGCGTTTAAATGCTTTCCTACTGTAAGCGTAATTATGACTTTTTCGTCGTTTTGTATTAACCTAGGAAAATGTAATTATGAATATCAAAAGCTGGTACAATACTCCTGCAGTATTTATAACGCCACCCTGCTGTAGCTGCCGATGTTATACAACGAAGCGGAAATAAAAACTGGGCGAACAAAGACTTTGACGACAATAAAGTGAAAACAATTGTAAATATTGGACGTGAATAGTGTTCGATCTTAACTACCATTGTGTTCAAAACCAAAGGCATAAAATTTCATAACCCGGTCTTTTATTCTAACTTCCCACGTAAATACATAACGAACAACGAGAATATTTTAATGAGCGTGGTTTATTACAATACAATGTTGAACAAGGTACAGAAAATTGCCAGAAATACAATACACTATACAATAGCAATCATGCCACGAAGTACGGGTTGCCACGTAAAGTTATTGGTGTATTTAGTTTTAAGCGCATAGACATAAAATCCCGTGATCCTATAGCACAATGCAGCAAACAGAAAAATTACCCTTCATGGACAATTGTGACAAATGGCAATTGCACAAGTTCGTTTGTTTGTATATGACGACTATATTAAAATATTCACGTCTGCTCTGCACTGATGTGCTTTCAACTAATATCAGATTTTTCGGATAAATATATTATCTTCCGCGCGATCTTTTATATTAAAATTATTCTCAATTATTTCAACGAGTGATATTCGACGTATGCTAAAATCACAAGTCTACAGTAGAAAACTTCAACCGAAAACCAAAGCCCGAAAAACAACTTTGATTAAAATAAGGGGCGTTTATCTTATTATTCACCAAGTGTGATCTTCTTCCCAAAACAGATTGCTCTTGGAATCATGTTTTTAATACATCTTTTGTTTTGTGTTCTCAATCTCTAGAACGATCTGTTCTCGCTTTTTACTCAACTCAACCTAACTGTTTACGCAAAGCGGTACCGAATTGTTAGATCATGTTACCTTAATTAATTGAAAATTAGTATAAAAAGAAAACTGTATACAAAACTACAAAGATCTTAATTTTACGAATTGTCATAAATGTCATTTATTTAATTTCTCTTTAGTATTCAGGTTGCTTATAGACACTGGGACACCAAAAAGTGGCGAAGGCTTAACAACGGCTTTTTTACCAAGTGGTACTTGTTACTGGACAAGCCAAACTACAAACGAACCTTTTGCTCTACATAGTAATAAATCTTTATAAATTTAAAACATTTTCCCTGTAATTGTAATCGCCTGTTTTGGAGTTTCTAAATAATTAAGCATAGGCAGATACTGTTTGATCGTGATTTAATTTTTTTTCTTCAAATCAAATCAGTATTTCCACCCTTTGTACGATAGAAATTGCAGCTATTCGTCCTGCTAAGAACCAGACATTTTAGCATTGTGAATGGGACAGGCGAGTACATCATATGACATTTTTCACTCCGCCATTAGATGATGAGCCCTAATAAAAAATAGTAGGAAGTATTACAAAGTCTGATCTCAGCGGATTCTTTTTCGTTGTCGAAAATCATCCTGAGTCCTCAAGCATAGTGTACACTCGAATACAATTCGTGACAATACATATTCTCATGCTGATCCGAAAGTTAAACACTCGTTATATTTCTCGCCCAAAGATTTAATTGTTTCCGACAAATTCCCACAAACTATCTTTATTTATCTCAAGTTAAATAAAGTTAAACAATGCCTGTAAATAAAGCTATTTTGTGAAGATGCTTGATGTTTTGCTACAGGGTAAATATCACACTTGAGAGTATGGAATGATTTAGAAATTGTGATTGGACACTTCCAAAAAAAATATTAGCCTGCGAAATTATTGT